GGCTATAGCAACCTGTGAGTCCACAGTTGCTGTGATGGAGCAGACATGGCTGTCCACATCAAACACCAGGCAGGAGGAGCACCTGTGAAGAGTCTTCTGAGCACTGTCCCAAATATAAGAACGCAGGCTGCTGCCTATTGCGACCACCAGCCTCAGGCCATCCTGGGTCCAACATGCACAGTGAATGCGGCCCTGGGTGTTGATGTCTGTCTTTACCTGGGAATTGTCAGAGTGCACATTAGGGAAAATGGAGACATCCTGTGCAGTCAACACAGTCAGAATAGCATATTTTGGGTGCCACACACAGCCCTGGGGAAGGACAGGTAGTGACTCTCTAATCTCACAAGTCTGAGACGTCACCCATTTGTTTGTCTCCATAGGGCTGGGGCACAGCTGCCACACAGTGACATGCTTCTCATGCTGGACAGCGAGCAGAACAGGTGTGTCAGCTGCAATGGGTGGGGCCCAGGACAACCCACAGACACATTCAAATTGTCCAATGACTTTGGAGTCCCCAAACTTGACCTCTCCATTGTGAAGCTGTAAATCAGTTAGGACAACTTGATTCCCATCAGTCCAGGCAAGGCCATGGATCGGGTGCACTGCTTGATGCAACGCATTCAGCCCAGTCCTGAGTAGTCTTCCTTTTCCCAACTCCATCCTTCTGATAAAGGTTGCCTGAAATTAAGAAGGAAAGTTACATCATGAGAAATCTAGACAAATCTCGAATGTAGGACATTTTATAAGACAACTGGCTTAGACCCTTCCCAGGTTAATAATGTGGAGAAACAAAATGACAGGGGGAGTATTGTAAATTAAGAGACTACTGAGCTATAACAGGCAAATGCATTGTATAGACTTTGGATCTTGAATTAAAGAAATAAAATCTACCAAATGAAGATTTTTAGAACTGGGGAAATCTGAGTATGGAACGGAGATCAGAAAATATCATGGAGTTATTAATTTTCTTAAGTGTGAACATGGTATTGTGATTATGCAGGACGATTAAATTTACCCCAAATTTACTACTTGGGGTAAAATGTCATGATGTCTACAACGTGCTTTCAAATGGTTTGACAAAAAGAAAAACCCAAATTTTCTATCGACACACAGAGAGAGAAAACAAATGTGGCAAAATGTTAATAATTGTTGAATCTAGATTGTGGCTATGTGAGTATTTATGGTACTTTCATCTTTTAAGTTAGAAAATTTTCCAATTAAAAATTTGAGAAAAGTCTCCTCCATCATCTAATTTCTATTCATCCTTTTACTGCCAAATCAATGAATAACTGATATGCACATCTCTGACTTTATTAGCACTTATTTCAAATCTTTCCAAAGTGGCTTTTATCTCTCTACTGAAATGACACTCAAAAATCAGTTTCTACTTCAACTTCATCATATTCAACAGCACTTAATAATTTTCAGAACATTTTAACATTCCCTATTGCATTTTATCTTACAACAATCTTTTACAATAACGTAAAGTAGGTTAGGCAGGTATTATCTTCATTTTTTCCACCCTGAATGTTTTTTCCCCAGGTATTTGAATCACTAAACAAGTACATGCTTAGGCCGAGTATGGTGGCTCACGCCTGTAATGCAAGCACTTTGGGAGGCCGAGGTGGGCGGACCACTTGAGGCCAGGAGTTCAAGACCAGCCTGGCCAACATGACGAAACCCCGTCTCTACTAAAAATACAAAAATTAGCCATGGTGGCGCACACCTGTAATCCCAGCTACTGGGAAGGCTGAGACAGGATCCCTTGAACCTGGAAGGTGGAGGCTGCAGTGAGCCGAGATGACACCACTGCACCCCAGCCTGAGCAACAGAGCAAAACACTGTCTAAAAAAACAAAAGTATATGCTCACTGCAGTAAAACGCAAACAAACCCGAAGTGTCTAAAGCAAAACTGTTGGCTGGGTGAAGTGGTTCACGCCTGTAATCCCAGCACTTTGGGAGGCCGAGGTGGGTGGATCACAGGTCAAGAGATCAAGACTATCTTGGCCAACATGGTGAAACCCCATCTCTACTAAAAATACAAAAATTAGCTGGGTATGGTGGCATGTGCCTGTAGTCCCAGCTACTGGGGAGGCTGAGGCAGGAGAATCTCTTGAACCCGGGAGGTGGAGGTTGGTGAGCCAAGATCGTGCCACTGCACTCCAACCTGGTGACAGAGCAATACTCTGTCTTAAAAAAAAAAAAAAAAAAAAAAAAAAAAAAAAAAAAAAAAAAAGGAACAAAATGTTGCAATAATAAACACAGTCTGAGAAAGACTAATTTTAGTATAAAAACAATTGCTGGGCCAGATGCAGTAGCTCATGCCTTTAATCTCAGCACTTTGGGAAGCCGTGGCACATGGATCACCTGAGGCCAGGAGTTCAAGACCAGCCTGGCCGACAAGGTGAAATCTCATTTCTACTAAAAATATAAAAATTAGCCAGGAGTGATGGCACACTCCTGTAATCCCAGCTACTCAGGAGGCTAAGACACAAGAATTGCTTGAACCCAGGAGGCGGATGTTGCAGTGAGCCGAGATGGCACCACCACACTCCAGCCTGGGCAACAGAGTGAGACTGTCTCAAAAACAAAACTAAACAAAACGACTATTGGCTAGACACAGTGACTCATGCCTGTAACCTCAACACTTTAGGAGGCCAAGGCAGAAGGATTACTTGAGCCCAGGAGTTCAAGACCAGAGAACAGCCCGGGCAACATAGCAAAATATTGTCTCTGCTTAAAAACAAAACAAAACAACAATCTACAAACATATATAAAGTGATGTTTAACCTCACTAGTGATCAAAGAATTGTGTAAACTAGCAGGACTCATTTTTCACCACTCATTCTCTTCTTAATATACTTCAAATGAACTCCATTCCAATCTCTTCTCCAAAACATCTCTTACCAGGCCACCAGTGCCATCCCTGTTGCTGAATCTAAATGACATTTTTCAGCATTGTTTTACTCAGTGTCAAAGACAGAACTTGAGAAGTTGTCTTCAGACTCTAAATCCAAAGAAATATATTCTCTACCAATCTGGTAGTTTGTTTATTTGTAAATTATTTATCATGTCTCTTTGCTAGCTTTGTCCTTGCTCTTAGGATCTTTTACTTAAAGAAAAAAAAAGGCTATTATGCTTTTCTATATATGATGTCAGATTAAGTGGTTCTGCAGTGGCTTGCTAAATGGAGAAAAAAGTCCCCTGTAATTACTAATGAAGAAAGCCGTGATCTCTATCCCACTGGTCTTATGAAAGATAATAGCTGTTTTCCCCCTAATATCTACTTATGTATTTTAAAAAGACTTTTATTGATAAATAATGCATGATACACTTTCATGGGCAGAGAAAATTCCTAATGGGCCAATTACATCTAAGTCGATTTATATATTTTAGGATACCAAATTCAGTCTAATGTCAATGAGGGTGTATGAGACCAGGGAAGCACAAGATAAGGATTTGAGAATAAGAGAAAAACAAACATGAGAATAAGTTTACTGAGGTTATTTTTTGGGAGGGGGACAGTCGTGCTCCATTACCCAGATTGGAGTGCAGTGGTGTGATCTAGGCTGCAATCTCCACTTTCTGGGTTCAAGGGATTCTTGTGCCTTGGCCTCCCAAGTAGCTGGAATAGGCACCCGCCACCACGCCCGGCTAACTTATGTATTTTTAGTAGAGACAGGATTTTACCATGTTGGCCAGGCTGGTCTTGAAAGCCTGACCTCAAGTGATCCTCCTGCCTTGGCCTCCCAAAGTGGTGGGATTAAGCCACCATGCTGGGCCAGTTTACTGAGGTTTTTAGAAGAATGAATTTTAATATTGTCACCTTCAGTAACAAGAAATGTGGCACATTTTTCTCAAAAACCCAATGATTACAAAAATCTGCTCCATTCCTTTCTACTCCTGTTAGCCCAGGTTCTGACTTCTCCCTTTTTATTAGGGTAGAACAAGAAGTCCCCTTGATACCAGTCTCTACTTTCCAAATGAGCTTGCATACTACGTGTTATTGTGTAGAATTATCTTTTTTAAAAAGGCATAGCTCTGATCATTTTTCTTTACTGCATAAATACCTTTGATGAATCCCCACATCTACAGTACATATAAAAAAGCCTCAAAATGTCTTCACAAGGCATTTAAGGCCTTACATTATCACATACTGATATATCTTTCTAACTTTTCTCTAATCATAAAGGGCATGGTGAAAAATTTGGAATCTGGGGGGAACCAACATATATTCGAATAACAATATGCACAATGGACCTGAGAAAGAAGAAAGTTGATGAGTAATTTGAATGCCACAAAGTGAAAGTGAAGCAAGTTTGTACCTATTTCAGTAGAGAAAAAGGCCAGATTCAAGAGATGTTTCTAAAGCAGATGGAATAGACAGTGATATCAGATAGGATATAAGTAGTGAGGAAGAAAAAAGAATTAAGGATAACACCCAGATTTTTAGCTTGAGAAATTGCTGAACCATTAACCAGAGCATGTTTCAAAGGCAAGAAAGGCAGAGCAGGCTGGGTGTGGTGGCTCATGCCTATAATCCCAGCACTTTGGGAGGTTGAGGCAGGCAGACACCTGAGGTTACCAGTTCGAGACTAGGCTGGCCAACATGGTGAAACCCTGTCTCTACTAAAAATACAAAATTAGCTGGGCGTGATAGTGTGCACCTGTGGTTCTAGCTACTCGGGAGGCTGCAGCAGGAGAACTGCTTGAACCCAGGAGGTGGAGGTTGAAATAAGCCGAGATTGCACCACTCCATTCCAGCCTCGGTGACAGAGCAAGACTCTGTCTCAAAAAAAAAAAGAAGAGAAAAGAAAGAGAGAGAGGGAAGGAAGGGAGGAAGGGAAGAAAGGCAGGCAGAGCACAGTGGCTAACACCTGTAATCCCAGCACTTTGGGAGGCCAAGTGGGGAGGATTGCCTGAGGCCAGGAATTCAAGACCAGCCTTAGCAACACAGGGAGACCCCAACTCTACAGAAAAAATTAAAAAAAATTAGTTGGGTGCTTGCTTTGGCAGCCCATATACTAAAACTGGAATGATACAGAGTAGCATGGCCCCTGCACAAGGATGAGTTGCAAATTTGTGAAGTGTTCCATAAAAAAGGAAAAGAAAAAAAGAATAAAATAAAAATCAGCTGGGGGCAGCATCACACACCTGTAGTCCTAGTTATTCAGGAGGCTAAGAGGATCACTTGAGCTCAGGAGTTACAGGTTACAGTAAGCTATGATCACACCACGGCACTCCAGCCTGGGTGACAGAGTGAGACCCTATGTGAGGTGGGTGCGGTAGGGGAGGAGGAAGATGTGTAGTATGTGATGTATTTGGTATTAACATGTGCTTCATGTAAAATGTCTACATGGTACCAATGTACATTAGGCAGGCAGGGGTAAAGATTTGGAAATCACTGACACAGGGTTAATAATTAAAGTCAAGGCAGTAGAGAACCTCACTGTAAAAGATGAGAGAGCCAGGAGGACCAAGGTTTAAATGATCTTCAGGCATTCCCCAACACTACTGATTTTGCCTGAAACTAATTGTATACCTATTGTTTCACAATCTCCAAAGTGTAAGTTTTCTGGAGAACATAAAATCAAGAACCCTGCGTGTTTTAGGAGGGGAAAGACCACTGTATTAGTTCAGGAGAGGGGTGGCAGAAAACCAAGAGCTGGTGCTCAGTATATGACCATTTAATTCTGTTTTTCATCTTTAAAGACAACTGATGATAAGAATCAAGGGATTCAGGTGAACTGGAGCATTTCCAGTAGGTTTAAACAAAAGTACATCCCTTTTCCCAACTTGTTTTCCAAGTTTATTGTGTTTCCACTATAAAATGATTTCAAATTCTTTACCCTTATGTAAAAAAAAAAAAAAATCACACATAAGAAAGGTAAAAATTAAAAAGAGTCAACAAAAAACATTCATCCAAGGAAAATTACGACTACATCCCTCTAGATTCTTCTACGCATAGTTTGGCTGTCACACTTTTTTCAGTCATGCTGTGCAACTTTGTATCACGGTTTTCACTTAACATTATATAATTAGCATTCCCCCATGTTATTTTAAAGTTTTATAAATTAGTTTTAGAGGCCACTTCACATACACTCAGTGAAGTGACATAATGTACTGAACAGCTCCTGGCTGTACCCAACTTTACCCCGCTATAAATAACGCTGTGACCGAGGTCTTAATGCTTAAAGCATTTCCTGACTTTGGATGACTTCCTTGGAACACATTCCCAGGAGTATTATTCACGAGTCACAGTCATATTCGCTCGTTTACACCCACACCCAGCTCGGTCCTCATCCCGCGACCCCTCACACGCGGCCCGCCCCATTCTCCTCGTCCTCTCTGCACTCCTGAATCTCCTCCCTCCTTCCCTCCCTCCCGACCCCCATCCCCCATCCCCCATCCCCCATCCCACCCCCCTCCTCCGCGCCCGATCCACTTCCCTCCTGACCCGCTACAGCCTCCTCACATCCGCCAGGCCAGGCAGCAGTGGAGACAAAATACCTTAGGTCTCACTGCCTCACAAAAACACCAGCTTCCCTGAGGCAGCCGAACATCACGCCGCCGGAGATCAGAAGCTCTGGGCAGCCACCGGAAGCACCGGCCCTCAGTCCTCTGATAGGTGAGCGGTGGCCGAGCACGCTCCGCGATGGCCCCGTCTATTGGCTTTTGAATGTGCACGTTAGGAGACGGTTTGTCTCACCGGCCAATAAGCTCTGGCTCTGCCGCACGGATCGCTGGGAGTCGTAGTTTCCATGAAAACACCGACCGCAAGCCCGCCACATTTTTCCTCTCCAAAGCACTTGAACTCCCTCCCCACTTCTCTTCGGTTCTCTTGTCTAAGGAGTTCAGGAGCCCTAGGATCAACACAGTTTCTTAACCTTCTTTAAACTCTGATAAAATCTCTCCAGGAAAATGTTCTTATTTGTACACAAAATATGATGCATTCAACTGAAGCTGCTTCATGGGCCTGTCCCAGCTACAAATCCCTGTCCGACACCGGCCCTAAGCGTGCCTGCTCTGGTGTATCCCTTAGGCTTAGTGCATTCCTGAGGCTTCTGTAGACCAGCTACACGCTTGGAAGACTCTGCGTCACATCTCGGAGCAGCCCATGAGAAATTCCAGGTCCTGACCTTCACAGTACAGTTAACCATCGTCTTTCTTGAACAACACAGCCCGTCCTCCTTCAGGGATGCAGACAACCTCATCTGGGACCTAAGCATACAGGAGAGTGGGGGTGGGGAAATGGAGGAAGAACAACCTTGGGGCTCATGCTGGGCCCGTTTGCCAGGCCTTTCTCTCCATGCCTATCTTCCAGTGCCACTTAGCAGAATCATACCTTCACATCAGTTTTTGTTTATGTTTTTCTTTTCTTTTCTTTTTAAATAAAGTCGGCATGCCTATAATCCCAGGGCTTTGGGAGGCTGAGGCCGGTGGATAACCTGAGTTCAGGAGTTCAAGATCAGCCTGGCCAACATGGTGAAACCCTGTCTCTACTGAAAATACAACTATTAGCCAGATGCGGTGGCTCACGCCTGTAATCCCAGCTACTTGGGAGGCCGAGACACGAGACGAGAGGCAGAGGTTGCAGTGAGCTGAGACTGTGCCACTGCACTCCAGCCTGGCGACAGAGTGAGATTCTGTCGCAAAAAAAAAAAAAAAGACAGGATCTCTCTATGTTGCCCAGACTGGTCTCGAACTCCTGGGCTCAAGCAATCCTCCTGTCTCGGTCTCCCAGTGTTGAGATTACAGGTGTGAGCCATTGTTCCAAAAATTGATATGCGCGGCTTCACATCAATTTTTGGAACAATGCGGGGTGGGGGGGAGTTTTAAAAGTCCTAATTATCCTTCAAACAAAATGTTACCTCCTCCAGAAAATATTTTTCTACATTCCTGAATGTCTTTTTAGGTGGAGGAGGAACTCAAAGTAGAATTCATTTACATATTCATTCATTCACTCCACAGTCTTAATCACTCCATGCGGTAACTGTGTATCCCCGTCCCTTTCAGACTTAGTACCTGGAAGACAGCCATCCGGTCTTAATTCAATTGGTATCCCCAGGGCGCATGTCTTTGCCTTGAAAATTGAGTACCCAATAAATGTGCATGGAGCAGAACTACGCGAGATGGAGAACAGGGGTTTAGGGGTGTGGGGGGAAGAGTCAGCAAGGACTGATGTCCTCCCTCCCTCCCCCAGCTCTGCTCCTACAGATCCAGGACGCCTAGCGAGGGTAAGAACCTTTCTGGTGCTTCCGCAACGCTCTGAACTGCAGGGCACTGAGCACATCTACTTAAAGTGATGGTTTTATTAGATAGTAACACAGCAAGACCCGGCTTCTACAAAAAATAAAAATAAAAAATAAAATATTAGCTGGGCGTGGTTGCTCGCCCCTCTAGTCCCAGCTACTTGGGAGGTTGACGCAGAAGGATCGCTTGAGCGTCAGAATTCGAGGTTGCTGTGAGCTAATGATCGCGCCACTGCACTCCAGCCAGGGCGACAGAGCAAGATCCTCTCTCTAAATAAAAATAAAAATAAAGTGATGGTTTAATTGTCGGCCTTTGCCTCTCCTCTCCCCCACCCCCCACAAGTCTGTAGGACCGGGTTAACTCCCCAGAGCTTAGCACAGATTCGATGCTAAATAAATGTGTATTGGACGGATGGGCTAATGAACGGATGGATGGAGGATGAGGGGGTGCTCACCACGCTCCCGGGTCAGTGGGTTATTGTTGTCAGCTGGGCTAGGCTCGCAAACAGCCGGGCGGGGTCCCTTCCCCCGGGCCCCGCCCCGGCCGACCCCACCTTTCCGCGCGGCTCCGCCCCGCCGCCCCCTTCCCAGTGGCCCCTCCCCGCGCAGGTCCCGACTCCAGCCGCACCTCCTCCGGCTCTGCAGTGGCGGCAGGGAGGCGAGCCGGAGCGACTGCGGGTCCGGGGCCGGAGCCGAGCCGGGGTCGGGCAGCAGCAGGGACCCCCGGAGGCGGGGCCTGTGGGACCGCTATGGGCGTGGAGATCGAGACCATCTCCCCAGGAGACGGTACCGGGCTCCCTCCGGAGCCAGGGGAGGGGAGTGGTCCCGGGGCGGAGCCCGGCTGGCGGGGGTCTGATTCGGAGGTGGCGCGGAGGGTGCTGAAGGGTTGAGGGGGCTGAGTGGGGAAGGCTGGCGGAGACCCCGGACGGAACTCTTGGGGGTCTAAGAGACCGTCCACCATCCTCTTCCGCGCTCACCTTTGGGAATGTAGGCGGCAGCCCGGAGGTGGGGTCTGCAGCCCGGAGGCGGGGGTCTGCGGCCCACCACCGCCCGGGGCTGCTGCTGTCGCGGCCGCAACAGCTCGGTTTTCCGCTGCTTCAGACACCCAAGGCTGGGTTTTCTGCTTCGCTTTCCCTGCCCTGCTCAGCGAGCTCTGGAAGCCAGGGACGACCTGCTCTCCGGTCTCCGCTGTTCAGGACTTCCTCCTAGCGCGTCCCCAGCCTGGCCTCCCGTCGGGCCCCTGCGGGCCGGCTGTGAGCGGCTGTGGGGACTGACCCAGGCTGGGGAAGGGGGTGCGTTCCCTTGCTCGCTTCCGCATCTCGCTTTATCCTCCCGCCGCATTCAGACTCCCTGGCCACCCTGCCCACTCCCATGGCCTCCACATTGACGCTTCTAAGCCCAGCCCTCCGACCTGCCAGACCTCTCCCTGGACGTCCCAGGATGTGCCCTTGTCAGCAAATTCAAAATAGAACTCACGCTTCCCATCTTCTCCCCTGAGTGATCCTTCTTACCCATGTTCTGTGTCTCACTTTCCCAAGCCCTTGTATTATTGGGCCTGGGTATGCAAGGAATAGCCATTTCTTTATTTCTTGAAATTTAATTCATACCAAAGCCCCCATTGTCTGCAGGGTTTGATGGGCAAACATTATCAGATATTATTAATATGAACAGCTCCCCTCCCCAGGAAATTGGGGGACTTCTTGGCTCCAGGCCATCTTCCTTGTCCAATCCCAACCACTACCTCGGATCTCCCCTGGGGTACAGACTTCTTTGCCCACGCAGGAAACCTTGGTGCTGGGTCTCAGAAAGCATCTCCCTGAGGCAGCCCCTGAAGTGGTCTCCCCACCTTC